TTGTGGAAGTCACAAGAGTGGCCCTTGGATGCGTGCAGTAAAGGTTTGGGGAACGCCTTTATAAGCCTTGGCTATCTAAAGTACTCAGATAGCCAACCTGGCTTGTAAGTTAAAGCCCAAAGCTTACAATCTTGTTATAAGTATTCATGACCTATGACTACTATGAGCGTGCATCTGAATACCGTTGAGTTACAATCAGAATACTGAGTAGGTATCCAGCTTAGCATGAATATTGTTTCTTTTACTGTTCATTTTTATTATGCATGTGACTGTAAGCCAGTTTGTGAGTGCAAGCATACTGCGTGTGTGCACATGTTTGTGTGTGTGTGTGCGTGTGTGTGTGTGTGTGTGTGTGTGTGTGTGTGCGCGCGTGTGTGTGTGTGCGCGCGCACACGTGTGCGTGTGTGTTTGTGTGTACGTTGTGAAACACCAAACCAATGTGCCAGGATCTGAACAATAAAGAATGTATCTTATCTGAATGATTACCACTTCCCCTGACATAACCCCCCTTCACTACTTCATTTCCTTTTTTTTTAACAAAGCTTAAGGAAATAATGCACATACAATCAAACAGTTGAAACTTAAAGTGGAGCAGGGACGTTCACAGAATCGACCCACACACAAACCACAGGGTTATACAACAGCCCCAGCGGTATTCCAGCTTGTCTGGAGAGAATGTAACATTCAATATCTGCTGGTGGAGCACACAATTCAAATATAATTATTGCTCTTCCCTGCGTTTGTTTGGCAATGTCAGTTTTATTATACTATAAATTAGATCCTCTCCTCAATGCACAAAATGCACAAAATACACAAAATGAGTTGCCTGAAATTTTTTAGCTAGTTATTTCTCCAATTAGTAGATTGATTTTCTTCAAAGTGACAATTTGATGTCCCCGTGGTTGAATTTTATTTGTTCGAAGTTTTTTATGACATGACAATTGTGTCCTCTTCTTTTTTTTTCCCCTATCAAACTGGTAGCTTTTGGTTTGGCCCATCCATGAAGGAAAATCTGGGTATCCCCGACTCAACCAGATGGACCGATTGGCGGTATGCAGCACTGCCAAAGAGGGAGAAGAGGGAGCACTACATAATACTTCCACGCGGTAGGGCTGGATCCTGCTCGTCAAATTTGAGAGTGGCGATTCGCGATTCAGTCGGCTTCAATGAATCGCGAGTACGCGAGCGCTCGTGGAGCTGTGGCGGAACACTGACTGAAACGGAACAGTGTCATATCAACGCCTCTTGGCGAGCGCGAGTCCCACTCTTGTTGTTCCGCCATCCTCTCCGCCCCACACCCTTTGTTGCGCTGCTGTATCTACTGACCTCAATTAGTGAACCCCATAACCCATAAATCCCCCCCCCCCCAAACACCATGATTCGCTAAAACAATGGCTCCATAAAATTCCTTTTGTCTATTGGTTGGACCCCGTTCATTTTGTTTTAATAGGGGGGTTGGACTATACCATCTTTTGTAAAATAAGGGGAGCCATACAAAGTGTTCCGTTCCGTTCTTGCGCTCGGGACTCGACTCAGCCGTAGGTTAAACAAGCCACAAGGTGGTGACAGCGACAGGGGAGTGAATCGGGAATCGTTGTTGAGACTTAGTCTTAGTAACGTTTTACGGCGCTCGCAACTGCATACGGTCATATCAGCGCCAAGGGGTGGATGTCAACAGAAAAAGTCCAAACGGGGAATCAGGCTTACTTTGCTCACCTCTATAGCCTCAACAGCACCAAGTCTGCTTCGACTATCAAGGCACTCCGGAAATAGCAGTTCACAGGTAGAGGTAAAATGAAGAGACATTCGAGGCGGTAATCGGACGTAACACAACCCCCCGGAAGAAAAACCACCATCCTGGCCCGATCCACCACGTTGTAAAGTAAAGTAAAGCACTGGTGGGTTTTTTTTGTTTGTTTGTTGTTGTTTTGTG